CTCTACTGACCCCCTGCTCTACTGACCCCCTCCTCTACTGACCCCCTCCTCTACTGTCTGTTGAGCTGTCCACACACACACATTTGGTGAGGACATTCCTCTGCTGCCTGAGGTTTTACCTTCACCCGACAAACCAAAACCCTCTAACAGCTCCGGCTGCTCACCAGCTCTTTTTCGGGGAAGGAACCCCGGCTCACTGGTGACACACTTTTATTTTGTCGAAATGTTTTACTGAATAATTAATGACATTTCTATTCAGAGACATGTTTAAGCCGAGAATCAAGAAAGGGGGCACTTTCACAAGGGTGCCATTGAATAAATGAGCCTTGGTTTAATTTTCGATGCACATAACTGGTGAAATAAACAGCTGAATGGCAGGAAAACTGCTCTACGGTTGATGATCCAGGCCAATAGAACAATTATTCCAAAAGCAAAGATTTCTAATGTGTGGCTGTCCATCAAAAAAACCCGTGGGGGAAAGCTTATAGTGTCCTTAAAGCACTTCCTGCTCTGGGCTTCTTCCTTATTGGGAGGAGAGTCCTGTGGTGACAGAGAGAGCAATAATCTTATGATGGAAGTGTGTGTGAGAAGTCGCTGGTATCGTAGGCTTCTGGATACTCAGGTGTTTTGGCAGCTTCTCGTCCGTGACACTCACTAAAGTCTGAGGTCTGCGATTGAACGAATAATCAGGCTGAACAGAGGGCAGAATCAGCCTCGTCTTAACATCTAAATCCTGCAGACTAACCGATTCTGAGAGTTCTGAAACTTCCCTTCTGTAATCAGAACGTATTCTTTCTGAATGCAGCTTGGTGGGGGGGTCGGCTTATGGATGCTCGCTGCTCTTTACTCAATCAGAACCTGATTGAGTTCTGTATGTGAATGGAAAACAACATAACCAGCTGCCTGTTCATCGATGGGCCACGCCCAGACTCCGACTTCCATCGGTTTTTATCGCTGCTAGTGCCTCTAAATCAATGTTCAAGTCAGAGGTCGCCCTTAGACATGTTTGGTTGTGAAGTATGTGGGACCTGCCAGCTGTCGTCGCTCTTTCTATTTTTGTCCCAGCGCACCATAATTATTGCGAGCCCTTCGTAATTTGGTAAACACTAGCGCTCCTTCCACAAAAACACACACATAATGGTGCTGGAACTGTTTGAGACACTGGGTTTGGCTCCCGACACCTTTTTCTGGCCACTAACGCCACCTCCGTAGTGAGTTGGCAGCCGGCT